CAACTAGATAAAAGAACTAGCCTTGCCGCATAATCATGAAGCAATTCAGAGTTTTCATCGAGTTTTTGTCGATTGAGGAAGTAGTAAAAGATGTCGGCTCTATTTGCTACTTGCGTTCAAAAGGAAAAAGAAGAAAAAAACAAAGAGACAAGTCCAAGACAGAAGATGCCCTAGTCTATTGCTGCCTTTTTATTTATAGTGTCGCTGCCGCTTCCCTTTGCTTGTTGAATTGGAATTTGTTTTCCACAAGGATTGTTTCCTTATTTCCCTCATTGGATTGTTGCCAAAAATCCTCTTTGGAAAAGCTTCCTGATCCCACGTAGGATTGTTACCAAAAGTCCTCTTCGAATTCTATTTCCTCTGCTACTTAAAGGTCTTCGCGGCACTTGCTTTCCAATTCCAATTGGTTTCCAATTCTCCTGTGTTTTCCAAAAGGATTCCTGTGTTTCCAATTCTCCTGTCTTCTGGAATTTGCCCCTTTTTTATCACTTTTATCACAATTGCCTGTAATTAACACAAATACCAATTATGAGCAGAAATCCAATACTTTGCATAATAAATTGCCAAAATTAAGACCAAATAACCACAAATAAAATGCATAATTATATCCCTATCAAATTCCCCCACACCAAGATAATGCTTGTCCTCAAGCATTTCAAACTTTAAATACACAACCAAGCGAGCAAATATTTTGCAGCAGTTGAATTCAAAACAATGGCTATTAATCAAAGCAACTATTGCCAATGTATGATTTAGATAACTGTAAAGTACTGATGACAAATTTTACGAGATAACTCTTCAACTAACTTTTAAAACCAATGACTCTTTCAAATCCAGACTAACCAATCTAAGAATAGAAAATATCCAACCAACATTCTTTAATAACTGGTCCAACCACTAAGCAAAATCTCAACATAAAGACTCATGGATCCGCAGGCAATACAATTATTCGCATACTTTTATGCTCGTATACTTTTTTTTGTTTTATTTTTCATCATTTTCATTTTTTTTTGTTTCTTTTCCCTTTTTTTTTTTTTTTTTTTAAGGAAGTGCTTAGTCTTGAGCCATTCAAGTCTTTTGACGCGAACTCCGACATCTCTTCAATGAAGGAGCCCGGTTACTCAACTTAAACCGCTTAAAGACCACATACTCATAGTTATCGCTGCTTTTTGACGCGAAAATCGACACTTTAGGTGAAGACCCCCGGTTACTAGTCAATGATAACCAGCGGAGTATAGCCGAATGTTATTCACAAATAAACACCCAAGTAAAATTAAAACCATGCAAGCCTGCTTCATTTCCTTAACATGGAGAACTAAGATTAATAGTTGAACCAGTTCACACAAAAATGTCAGAAAAATATTTACAATGCCTAGAAAAGTTAACCAAAAGAAATTGCAAGAGTCACAAAATCTCAAATATTTACCAGAGAGTCATCCTAAAATTTTACCATATCATACTTAACATATTATCATCTAAAACCATAACAATAGTTAAATTTGAAAATCAAGCCATTGCTTATCAAGGCTAACCACAAAAATCCAAAAGGCATGGTAAAGGTTTTTTTTTTTTTTTTTTTTGGAAGAAGGAAAAGCAGTAAGAAGGAAAAGCTAGACTACTCCCCCCACACCTAAAGTCTACATTGTCCTCAATGTAAGAACGAAAAGTTGAAGTCAAGTGAAGGGAGCAAAAAACTTCCCTGAATGAAAAAAACTGCAGCAAAACACCATGGTAGAGGAGGTGTCAGGGACTGGCAGCGTGGAGCCTCGACGGTGGTGTGGTGTAGCGTTGCTTCAGATGGAAGCGGAAGTCTTCAATCCAAGCCTGTGTCCCCAGAGTGGACCAGAGTTGCTGTAAGGCGTGACCACGCCTTATAAGGCAGAGTCTTCTGCCCAAGCATTTCTACGCTTTTCATGGAGTCACTTATAGGGCGTGGGCATGCCTTGTAAATCCAAGTCTCCTGCCCAACACCAAAAAGAACACTTGCAATGAAACAAAACAACCCAAAATCAACGAAAAACGAAAGAGAACTATAACAAAAATGGAGGCCTTGGGTTGCCTCCCAAGAAGCGCCTTTCTTTAACGTCTTTGGCTAGACGACTCCACAGTGAGCAATTAGGCATAGATAGGATCTATCAAGTGTACCTCTTCCAAAGTGCCAATGTCTGAAACATCAACAAACGGTTTTAAACGATGACCATTAACTGTAAAACTCTTATTAGTCTCTAAACTCTGGATTTCAACCACACCATTGGGAAAAACATTGACTACCACATATGGTCCAATCCAACGAGATTTTAACTTACCTGGCATGAATTTCAACCGTGAATTGAACAAGAGTACCTTTTGTCCTGGGAAAAAGTGTTTCGCACGCAATAGGCGGTCATGAAACTGCTTGGTACGCTCTTTGTACAAACGTGCATTGTCATATGCTTCAAGACGAATTTCCTCCAACTCCTGGAGTTGGAGCTTTCTCTCTTTGCCATCTCTATCCGCATGGAAATTGCATTGCTTGACTGCCCAGAATGCACGATGCTCAATAGCCACAGGTAAATGACACATCTTACCAAACACCAACCTATATGGGACATTCCAATGGGCGTTTTATACGCGGTTCGATATGCCCACAAAGCATCATCCAATCGCAAGCTCCAATCCTTACGGTTGGGGTTAACCGTTTTCTCCAATACGCTCTTGATCTCTCGATTGGAGACTTCAGCTTGCCCATTGGTCTGAGGATGATATGTTGTACTCACACGATGGTGCACTCCATATTTTCCATGAGAGCTGCAATGGTGCGATTGCAGAAATGGGTACCTTGATCACTGATGATGGCTCTCGGCACCCCGAACCTACTAAAAATGTGGGATTTGAGAAATCCTACAACAACTTGAGAATCATTAGTCCGGGTAGCCTTTGCTTCTACCCATTTCGATACATAGTCAACTGCTAACAGAATATACAAAAATCCAAAAGAGCTAGGAAAAGGTCCCATAAAGTCCATACCCCAAACATCAAACACTTCACAAAATAACATAGGCACTTGAGGCATTTCATCCCTATGAGACAAACTTCCAAATTTTTGACATTTTTCACAGCTTTTACAAAATGCATAAGCATCACGAAACAATGTTTCCCAATAAAAGCCACAATCAAGGATTTTTCTAGCAGTTCTCTTAGGTCCAAAATGGCCACCACATGCATAATTATGACAATGAGCAAGGATAGAAGGAGTTTCACTTTCAGGTACACATCTACGAATAATTTGATCAGAGCCTATTTTCCACAGATATGGCTCGTCCCAAATATAGTATCGAGAATCATGGACTATCTTATCTCTCTTACTCTTACTCATGCCAATAGGGAATTTATGACTGACCAAAAAGTTCACAATATCTGCATACCAAGGTTCCTTACCTTTGAGATAGAAAAGATGTTCATCAGGAAATACCTCAGATATGGGAACTGCTTCCTCTTCTCTTATCAACCTGCTCAAATGGTCAGCTACTGAATTATCCACCCCTCTCCGATCCTTGATCTCCCAGTCAAATTCTTGCAGCAAGAGCACCCAACGAATGAGTCTTGGCTTGGACTCCTTTTTGACAAGAGATACTTCAAAGCTGCATGATCAGAGTAAACCGTTACTTTTGACCCCAATAGATATGATCTAAATTTCTCAAAAGCGAAAACAATGGCTAGAAGCTCCTTCTCCGTGGTGGTGTAGTTGCATTGAGCTGGTGTCAATGTTTTTGACGCATAGTATATCACGTGACTACACTTCCCACTCCGCTGTCCAAGCACAGCTCCTACGGCATACTGACTGGCGTCACACATGAGCTCAAAGGATAGCTTCCAGTCTGGGGGTTGGATGATTGGTGCCGTGGTCAACATACCCTTGAGTGTGTCAAAGGACAATTTGCAATCATCTCCAAAGTTGAATGGCACCTCCTTTTGAAGCAGGCGAGACAATGGTTGAGCAATTTTTGAAAAATCTTTTATGAAACGCCTGTAAAAACCTGCATGGCCTAGAAAACTACGAATATCCTTGACATTAGTAGGGTAAGGTAGACTAGTGATCAAATCAATTTTAGCCTTATCTACCTCAATACCCCTTGATGAAACAACATGGCCCAAAACTATGCCTTCCTTAACCATGAAATGACATTTTTCATAATTAAGAACCAAGTTTGTTTCAATGCATCTTTTCAAAACCTTTGTTAAATGGTCTAGGCACTGATCAAAAGAATCACCGTATACTGTAAAATCATCCATGAAAATTTCAATGCAATTATCAATCATATCAGAGAAAATACTCATCATGCATCTTTGAAATGTTCCAGGAGCATTACACAAACCAAAAGGCATACGGCGATATGCAAAAGTTCCAAAAGGGCAGGTAAAAGTAGTTTTATGTTGGTCCTCTTGAGCAACAATAATTTGATAATATCCAGAGTAACCATCTAAAAAGCAAAAGAAACACTTACCTGCCAACCTCTCAAGCATTTCATCAATAAATGGGAGTGGAAAGTGGTCTTTCCTAGTTGCGGCATTTAACTTCCTAAAGTCAATGCACATTCTCCACCCATTTTGCAATCTCATTGGCACTAACTCATTCTTTTCATTTTTCACCAACGTGATTCCAGTCTTCTTGGGAACAACATGGACTGGACTTACCCACTGGCTGTCAGAAATAGGAAAAATAATTCCTAATTCTAAGAGTTTGAGAATCTCTTTCATCACCACCTCCTTCATTGCGGGATTGAGCTTGCGTTGATGCTCTCTCACGGGTTTTACGTCCGACTCCAAAAGGATGTGATGCATGCAAATGGATGGATTGATGCCTTTGATGTCTGCTAACGTCCATCCAATTGCTGGTTTAAATTCCCGTAAGACCCGTAAGAGCCTCTCTTCTTGCAACGCAGTTAAATCATTGGCAATGATTACAGGCAAAGTCTTGTTATCTCCCAAGTAAGCATATTTCAAATGCTCGGGCAGTTCCTTCAATTCCACATTAGGTGCCTGTTGAACAGAAGGTAGAATTCTTTCATTAGAAGTGGGTAATGGTAAAAAGAATTTTCAAACCTGCCTGGAAGCGGATGTAGTGAATGTAAGGACATGATAGCTTCTTTGACTTCCTCCTCCTCCATGTCGTCCACTTCCAAATTGGTCTTGCCTTGTTGTAAGACAAAGTCCAACTTGTCCCTCATGAAATTCTGTTCAAAATTCTCTTGCACAATGGTGTTAGTCATGCCAACAAAATTTACAGATTCAGTATCCACAGGATGCTTCATTGCATCAAAAATATTGAAAGTGACTTTCTCTCCATCAAATTCCACAGATAAAGTCCCTTCATGTACATCTATTTTAGTCCTTGCTGTACTCATGAAGGGTCTACCCAAAAGAATCACTGCTGAATCAGTAGAGTATTCATCATTCATATCAACAATGTAAAAATCCACAGGAAAAATGAATTCATTGACCTTTACTAGAACATCTTCAACTAGGCCCTCAGGGTAGACATTCGACCTATCAGCTAGTTGAATGATTACCCTAGTTTCTTTGAGGGGTCCTAAATTCAAAACTTTAAAAATTGAGAGAGGCATGACATTTATTGAAGCACCTAAGTCAAGCATGCTTTTTTCAATTCTTTGATTGCCAATTATGCATGGTATAGTAAACATACCTGGATCCTTGCATTTCTGGGGCAACTTCCTTTGAAACATCGCTGAGACATTCTCCCCCACCTTCACCTTGTCATCCAGACTCAACTTATTGCGATTAGTGCATAAGCCCTTCAAAAATTTAGCATATTTAGGCAATTGCCTAATAGCATCCAATAAAGGAATATTGATCTCCACTTTCCTGAAGGTGTCCAAAATCTCTTGCTCAGATTCTTCCTTTTTGGCTCTTGTAAACCTGCCAGGAAAAGGAGGAGGAATGTCAACTTTCTTTGAGACTTCAGAGGATTGTTTCTCATCTTCCTCTTCCCCTTCCTGGGCACTTCTTCTTCTTTGGCGTGGGCACGCCTAGGAGACTGTACCTCCTTGCCACTCCGTAATTGCATTGCACTGGCATTCTCCTTGGGATTAGGAATTACTTGAGATGGTAACTTTCCTCTATTGCTATTTTCCAGGTTGCTCATGGAAGTTGCCAATTGAGACATCTGTGCTTCCAAATTCCTAATGCTAGCACGAGTCTCTTGTTGAAATCTGTGAGACTCCTGCTGAGATCTTTGAGCCTCTTGCTGTAATTGACTCGTGCTTTGGGCCAGTGACTTCACCATATCTTCAAGAGACATGTTTGAATTGGAAGTGGATGGTTGTTGCACTGGTGGCCGTGGCTGGAAATGTTGTTGAAAGCCGGGGTTTTGAAGCATAGCTAAAGTTAGGATGATTTCGCCACCCTGGTTGTTAAGTGGGTGCAAAAGGATCATTCCTTCGTGGAGGTGGTCCAGAAAAATCTCCCACTATGTTGGCTTGTTCAGGTGAATCCTCCTGGAGAGTTGGGCACATGTCAGTCATGTGTCCGGGAGCAGCACAGATACCACAAGTCTTCACAGATTGTAATTGCCCCCTTGCCATTTGACGTACCAGAGAGGTAAGCTCAGATAGTTTACCCTCTAAGTCAGAGTGATTCACTTCATTGACCCTTCTTATTGCTCCATCAGCTCTCACTCCAAATTGTTGGGAATTTTCAGCCATGGTGGAGATCAATAACGTGGCTTCGTCTGTGGTCTTGTTAACCAGAGCACCGCCACTGGCTGCATCTAACATGCTCCTATCCATGGGTGATAATCCCTCGTAGAAATATTGTATTAAGAGCTGATCAGGGATTTGATGATGTGGGCAGCTGGCACACAGTTGTTTAAAGCGCTCCCAGTACTCATATAGAATTTCCCCATTTGCCTGCCTAACTCCACATATTTCTTTCCTTATATTGGCGGCTCTAGAGGCAGGGAAAAATTTCTCGAGGAATCTTCTCTTCAATTCTTCCCACGTAGTGATGGATCCAGATGGCAGGTAAAATAACCAATCTTTAGCCTTATCTGCCAAAGAGAAAGGGAAGGCTCTCAACTTGATGTGGTCCTCAGTGACTCCTTGAGGTTTCATTGTGGAGCACACCACATGAAATTCCTTCAAGTGTTTATGTGGGTCTTCACCTGCAATACCACGAAAAGTAGGAAGTAAGTGAATAAGACCAGATTTAAGCTCAAATGCCTCTTCCGTGTTAGGAAATGTAATGCATAATGGCTGCTGGTTCACGTTAGGAGTTGCCAACTCCCTCAAAGTTCTTGGGGCTGCCATTGCTACTCGGGAATATGCACTTCTTCTTTTTCAGATTCACTTGATGAATCACTGGAAACAAACTCTTGCTTAGATTCTGAAGGTGACGTTGAATCTTGTTGCTTACGCAACTTTGCCTCCTTGGTCAACCTTCTTGCAGTCTTCTCAATCTCTGGATCAAATTCTAATTCTCCTGTACGAGAAGATCGAGGCATAAAATAAATAAATAAAAATAATAATAAAAAAATAAAAACTAAACCTGTGCAATAAGTCACTTAAAACACCAGTTCCCCGGCAACGGCGCCAAAATTTGGTGGGTGTCAAACCACCAAAAATAAAATTTATATTAGACCTACTACCAAAACTGAATGAGTATAGTGGTGAATAGGGTCGTCTCCTCAGGGAACAGGTAGGCAAATCACACAGGAAAATGGGGGGAATTTTAGCAGTAGTACCAACTAATTAAAAAGGAATAAAAACTGAAATTTAAAGTTGATTAAGATAGCAGGAACCAAACTACACAAATAACAATTAATTAAAACAACCTAGTCAAGGAATTAATCTTGGCACCGAAGCACACAACTGATCACAGATACACAGGGACAATTCATATACTCACGAATAAACTGGTTATAGTGGTCAAGCGACGCGCCCAACCACCAATCTTTCCTTAATTTTATGGTAGTCAAGAGACGCTCATAAACTACCCTCTTGTGACTAGACAACCCCAGAAACGCTCACAGGATTTAATGTAGCCACAGCATTAGGAATTAGAAAGACCCAATTCTAGATGACAAACACACATGCGGGTTTATTTAGGCTAGATTAATTATCCCCACGATCCAAATTAACCGCTTGCGAGGCGGTGAAATTGTCTCGTTTGCCACTAATCAAGATGCTTAAAGGCGACGCGCCAACATCCTAATTGGCTATCAATTATTTAGACAATCGAATAACAGGCCTAATTATCCAATAAATCTAAACAATAATAACTCAGGGAAAAATAGAGAATAATCAAATACCCATGAACATATAAATTAAAAATAAAACAATTAAAACGATCTCACAGTTATGGTGCTCCAATCCTTGATTTATTCCTCAACTAGATAAAAGAACTAGCCTTGCCGCATAATCATGAAGCAATTCAGAGTTTTCATCGAGTTTTTGTCGATTGAGGAAGTAGTAAAAGATGTCGGCTCTATTTGCTACTTGCGTTCAAAAGGAAAAAGAAGAAAAAACAAAGAGACAAGTCCAAGACAGAAGATGCCCTAGTCTATTGCTGCCTTTTTATTTATAGTGTGCTGCCGCTTCCCTTTGCTTGTTGAATTGGAATTTGTTTCCACAAGGATTGTTTCCTTATTTCCCTCATTGGATTGTTGCCAAAAATCCTCTTTGGAAAAGCTTCCTGATCCCACGTAGGATTGTTACCAAAAGTCCTCTTCAAATTCTATTTCCTCTGCTACTTAAAGGTCTTCGCGGCACTTGCTTTCCAATTCCAATTGGTTTCCAATTCTCCTGTGTTTTCCAAAAGGATTCCTTTTTCTTACTTTCTTAATTGTTTGTTGCCAAAAGACTTCTTGCTTTTAAGGTTTCCTGATCTCACGCATGGTAAAAAGGTATCTTCCAATCAGAATGGTTGTTCCAGGGCTTGGGCCCGCGATCCGGCTTTTTCACGCAACTCTGTGTTGTCTGGCGTGGGCACGCCAGAGAAGGCCTAGTCTTCTGGAATTTGCCCCTTTTTTATCACTTTTATCACCAATTGCCTGTAATTAACACAAATACCAATTATGAGCAGAAATCCAATACTTTGCATAATAAATTGCCAAAATTAAGACCAAATAACCACAAATAAAATGCATAATTATATCCCTATCAAATTTACATCCGTGGTATTTTTGTGGCTTGAATTTACAAGAAATGGTAATACAAAAAAAAAGTAACAAAAATATTTAAATGGATTATAAATGGATAATTGGTTTTTATTTAATCCATTTAGATCCATCCATTTAGATCCATTTATTAAATGGATTGGATAAATTTTATCCACCATCTATTAAGTCAAAACCAATTATAAACCATTTATCCATATTGCCACCTCTACATACAACCACAAGTATATAATTATGTTGAAACACATTTTCAAATTAATTACACTTTTTTAAAAGACTAACACCCGATACATCTCTCAATGAGTGCGCATCGAACACCCATGTTATTTATACTCTTACAGACAATCAAACATTCCATCGATCTTTACACTCAGCGCAACCTTAAGCATTGGTTGAGATGCGAGACAGCCTATGAGTAAAATTAAATACCTGGTACCTGATTATATTTAGATAGTGGCCCAATCTCGACAAACATCTGGTAACTCGGCGAATGCTACTGCTAAACGTCGTGACCACAATGAGCACAATCACAACTGTATTGCTCAATTGATCACCTCTCGTGTGTTTTGGTGCCAGCGCAACTAGTGATATAGCATAAGTCAATGCTACGGTTGCAATTGCCAGCCCCATCAAATAAGACAAAAGTATCTGTAAGTGCGAAGCACGGGAGCGATACATGGCTGACAATTGTGCTCAACGATGAAACAAATGCAACGGTACTTGCCCGAATCAGACACCGGTAATAGGTGGGATGGGTTTGTGCCATGATGGGTTCTCCTACTCTGTGTGGATTTGGTCCTTCCTTTAAGTCATCTTGCCACAACCCTCCTGGAGGGCTTACCACAGCTTGAAAGGCCATCGTTGCTATGAGTGAGAGCACTACCATCATTGCATTACTTCTCTCTTTGAGCATCACCTGGTACTCTTCTGGGTCGTGGCCTCCCGGCCTGGCGCCGATCAACCTAAGAGAGCTTTCAATTTCGGTATTGATGTTAGCTTGACCCCGCAAAAGTGATAAAGCATTTCTGCCTTTTGCATCCTGCTGTTTCACCCAAACTTGGGAGCTATCAAGCAAGTATTTGATCGTCTGCATTTCCGAATTAGCAATTTAGCTTTAAAATCTAGATCAAGGGTGGTTCCATTTGGTTGCTCCTTGGTACTTTTGTATTATTTTAGAGAGCCAAGGATCTTTTATGTCAAACAAAATATGTGGTCATCTGGATTTGATAGTCACGTAATTAATCTTTGAAAGCATAAACATTTAATGACAATTACTAGAGATTGTCAGATGATCTTGGTGCCCATTGAAAATCCAATCTTTTCTTTATCCATATAGGTAACCCAATTAGGATACCATTCGGATATTGTTCGTGACATTTATTCAAATAACAAATTTAGACTAAGAATCAACGTAATGACACAGGAAGTTGTCAAGCCAAATAAGAAATTACAAAACTCAAATGATCCAATTAGATTTGGAGCTTGTACAATTGTGCGATTCTTGAAAAGGTTTTAAAACCATTTTTTGTTTAAAAGAAATTTCAAACCACCAAAATGTGGAAATGGAACAAGAATATAAGAAAATGAAAGGAAAATGTACCTTTCAATTTCCTTAGAGAATAATGCTACATGTTGTTAAAGGAATAATTTCAAAAACCTACTTTGAAGCTTTTAACAATTTTGCTTAACATCCGTTTAGTGATCTCCCTTACTTGGGGTTTTTGGTAACAAGTTCAGACCCCATCAGAAAAAGTGATTGAAAAAGTTGAAAGAAAATTTTGATGATAAAATTATTCCCAAGTTATCCCTAGAAGTGTGTTAGGTGAAATTGTAAGAAATCTAAGGGATGATTTTGAAATTATTTCTATAATAAAATGATTTTTTTTAACCATAGAGATCCATTACTTCTTAAAAAAAAATTCACAAGAAGATTAAAAAATGAAAATGAAAGAAAATAAACACAACCTGGTTTTGACGATAGTGTATGGCCATGTGTAATATGGTCATTCCATCCTCATTTTTGGCGTTCTGAAACCATGCATCTTTTGAGATGTCGACTAGCATCTTCAAGGCCTCCAGCTGATTATACTTGACACATAAATGCAAAATGGTCCCTCCCTCGTCTGTCTTCTCCAGAGCTGCTTGAAATCCGGCATCAAGTAGCTCTTGCAAAACTGCCAATCTGCCATACATGGCAACAAGATGTATGGGGTTTCTGCCATTTCCATCACGGGCCAAGCACAAAAAATAAGCAGCATCCTCACTTCTGCCCTTCGGAAGCTGTGTATCTTTTAATCGGTTGACTAGCATCTTCAAGGCCTCTAGCTGATTATATTTGACACACAAATGCAAAATGGTCTCTTCCCCATCTGTCTTCTCCACAGCGGCTTCAAATCCGGCATCAAGCAGCACTTGCAGTTGCAAGACTGTCAATCTGCCATAAATGGCAGCAAGATGTAAAGGGTTCTGCCTTCTCGATCACGGGCCAAGCACAAAAAATAAGCAGATTGAACTTGTAAGATTGCTTTTACAAAATCTACATGGCCCAACATTGCTGCTATGTGTAGAGGATTCTTATCCTCGCAGTTCAAAGCAGCTTTATCAAGAACAACTGGATCTTCTCCGAGTAACTGGTGAAGAGTGGTAACGTCACCTTTTAGTGCGGCATCACAGAGCCTTTTCTCCAGTTCTTTCTCCGGTTCTTTCTCACCCATGCTGCCTAAACTCCTCAGCTATATACTATATATCACGGGTCGCAGGTTGATTTGCTGCACTAGATAATTGCTTTTCACGGTTATGTATTTGGAGATTTGAGGAAATCTGAACCAAAATATTAGAATGCTGAAAGGCACTTCTAGGCATAGATGTGATATAAATATTGCTCCATTTAGTTAATTGCAACAATGATCGTTTGTCTAGGCATCTGGGAAGCCTAAGGAACTCGATAAAACTTGGTGTACGGTTCTCACAGCCACTTGGGTTGATATATATAGTACTGAATATCCTATGACCTTGGTTCGAGTGTGTACTTTGTAATTCAGGAAGTATTTCACGTTTCTCATTTATACTCTGGTTGCTGTGCAAGAAAAGGCTTGCAACAGGGGATAGATTGAGAAAGTGGGAAGTTTCATGGGTCTTCTGTGCGTGTACTTTGTAATCCAGCTGAGGAATCCATGGTGCGTCTACTCTTTTCTTGTGTTGTTTCTGGCGCAGTATGGAAAAAGGTTCAATCTATGCGTTTTGTTTAGAGGGGCACTTTCCCTTGTTCTGTTGAAATCAGTTGGATATGTCAACATGGAAGTCAAGTTCCTTCGTCGATAAGTTCAAAAGATTAGCCCTGGCTGCTACGGTCTATCGAGTATGGAAGGCTAGGAATGGGGTCATCTTTGGTCATAATCCCACTGCCATACAGAGTAATTTTTTCTGCTGTCTTGGAGACTGTTGGGCATGTTGGAGCTACCTAGAAGAAAAGGGACCAGGGGGAGGAACGGTTGCAGATCTGAAGGTTACGTGTATTTTGCACACGGCGTAACTCTATTTACACATGGTGTAATTTACTTTCAACAATGTAGTTCAAAAACAAAATTTTGTGGGTTCACATATATTGTTAAAAACGAGATACAAGATAAAATTTGAATCTTATAATTTTTTTGACCAAATCTTGGCATGAACTGCCAGGAAGCAACCGATCCTGCCCCTCTTTTCGAAAGAAAGAGGGCTAAAGGTAAATGGTATGGGAAGTATAGATGTTTACTTTTGATGTCATTGAGCTGGATGCTCCTTGTACATGCTTATTGAATATCACATAAAGTTGCACATTTACTCGGGGGGAAAAAAAAAGACACTGCTTCTCAGAAAAATTTATGACTTCATTAAAAATGAAGGAAAATGTTAATTGCATTCTATTTTTTTTTTGTTAATTACACTCTCATGACTTTTTTTTTTATCATATAGTCTAACTAATGAAAATCATATAATAAAAATGATAGTAAAAATGTGATTAACAAAAAATAGAATGAGATTAACATTTCTCAAAATGAATGTCTCTTTAGAAGGGGCTTCCTGCTCATGGCAGGCATTACTTGGACGGTGAAATAGGAATCACATCAATTTGAGGAATCATGAATTACTTGTTTAAGGAAGGAACCCTTAGACAATTTTTTATGTTATTCCTATTCCAGGATGCCAGGGACAACTTTAAATTTAACTTTACTTGAGACCTTAGTAAAAATAAAATTCTTATTCCTGAAGAGCTGGTTGTCCTTGTGACGCGGCAATGGAAGTGAAGTACCAAGAATAGTTTCATGAATTACTTTCATAGGAAAGAACCAACTAAAACAAATGATGGGAGTGTAATTAACACCAAGTGGAGAAATTTCTAATTTTGTGGTGATTTTTAAAAAAATTCTACAAAAGGGGTGATTGTGGCCAGGGATTCCGTTGGGGGGTCTTCGCATTCGTGAAATGCGAGCTCTGCTCAACAGAGCTCAGCTCAACATTTTTTGCTTAATTTTTTCCGGAGGCAGAGATTTATATTTTTGTATTAAAACAAAATGTTTAAAGATTTCGCATTCGCGTTCGCATTCCCTAAAAAAAAAATTTTGGGCGGAGGTCTGCTGAGCTCGCATTCGCAAAATGCGAGCTTAGCTCAACTTATTGAGCTCGCATTCGCGATTCGCGAGCTCAAAGACACTAAGTATAATTAAATATTTTGTTTTTTTTTGGGAGCTAGAGAATTTTTTCAAGAAAATAGTAAGAGCTAAGTGCGAGGTCCTAAATGTTTTTTTAAAAAATTTTTCAAATAGCTCGCATTTGATAAGTTTGACCTCCAAAAATTATATTTAATTTTTGTGTTAGATTTCGCATTTATAAGTATGACTTTCAGAAAAATAAATTCAAACTTGGTAGAAAACAAAATTTAAAATGAAATTTACGAGCTCAAAAAAATGTACAATTAAATGTACTAACTTTTGATCCTTTTTTATGAAATAAATTTATTTATCAAATTCTAATTTTCCTTTGTTATTAATGAATCGTATTTATTTGTTGACACCGATGAATATTAGTTATAAGAATGTAATAATTAATAGTCATTAATATCTGTTACAATTTTTTTATTGTAATTTTAGAAATTCCATAACGCAATGCTATTTAAAAAAATTATATCAGTTATGTTTATGAAGTGCATGTTATTTGTTTGGTAGTTGAAAAGGAAAAGAAAAAAAATTAAATCAAATATCTAGCGATTAAATCTTGCATTTTGTACCTTTTACAATTGATGCGAATGTAGATATTTTTAGATGAAAATCACCGGTTACTCAATATTTCACATACTGAAGTTGCTTTTCATACTCTTAATTTAAGTATCGTTTTATGCGAAAGTCGACATTTGTAGATGAAAACTCCCGGTTACTAAGTATAAAAACATTTGGAGTAGAATAACCCTTTTTTATTTTGGTGTATATATAATAAAATTCCCTGTAAGAATAATCATGAGAAAAGTATGACACTTATTGACCATATTAATTTCTTAACTTATAAAATAAGATAAAAAAAGAATTTTCATCAAATGTGCAAAATGTAGGCATAATTTTGTCCACTTTACTAGATATACTTTCCTATAGATGTAAAAATTATAATCACATAAAAATCATTTTCCAAAATTGAATGAGAAAAGAAGTTTCAAAACTATATATATTTATTTCAAAAGGATAAGTGAAAAAAATTTATTTATTTATTATGGTTAATAACATATATATGTATAAGGTTTTGGAAAAATTTTGACAGAGTCTCCCCTTAAAAGTGAACTAAAACTCCCTGCCAGCAACCACAAGAAATACAATTTAAGCACAACAATTATATGAAACACAACTTAAATCACAAGTACCACACATATTTCTCCCCCCACACTTAAATTACATATTGTCCTCAATGTGTAGGGAAGAAATGAAACAAAAGAAGAAAAGAAAAGAAAGAAGTTTCCGCTAAGTCAATGGCTGAGATCCTTATCAGCCACTATTCATGAACCACTGCCCAAATACAAGTGCCTACCAAATAAAAAACAGAAAAAATAAAATGAAGTTAAACATCTTAAGTTCCACAAGTTAAGATAATTAGGCAAGCAAATCCACCAACTAAAGATAGCTTCTGCAGTGCGCCATGTCAGTCATCCCCCTCGGCATCATCGTCATCCTCTGCATCACAATTGGGTGGTGGATGAATGCCCAAATGATCTTCAATTCGGCTTAGACGATTCCTAACGTCAGCTAATTGGAATGCAAAGTTATCGATATGGTCAAAGAGTCGCTGCAATTAGTCTGTGGTGGAGGAGGAGGTGGTGCTGCAGTAGATGGTCCAACTTCATCCCGACCATGTCTAGCCTTCTGCCTCCGCTCCTGAACAGGGCCTGGAATGCCAATACCAAGGCGGCGAAGAGTAGTGATAGTCATCTCAGCCCGTGGTGGAACAATCTCCCGCCTCATTCCTTCCAACTGAACCTCAAAACGCCGGAAGATTAAAGTCAGTAGACGAGGAAATGATAGTTTGAAGGAAGTTGTCTTACGCCTCGCCGTAGACCTAATGTGGCTGATGATGATGTTAGGCAATGAAATTCGAGCATATGGAGATGTCCGGTTATGGAACATGTAATCCAAGAAATAGATATCGCTCTTGCGGACCTCCGTGTGCCCCGTCTTCTTTGGGATGACATTGTGAGCCATCATATAAATGATAAGACGATGACGAGGTTCGAACACATTCGCCACTATGGTCTCCTTCCTTGTAGATCGAAAAGGTTGGTACTCAAGACCAAACCTAGCCATGGCCAACGAGGGATCCCACCTCCTATTCGGGGAACAAACCCCTTCTTCAAATCTACGGACGTCCGTCATCCATACACCCCAAAATAGCGGCCAAATCTTGACGTGACAAGGTAATTCGTCTTCCACGCACCAGGACTCAACTATTTCTCCACTATGGCGCGCCTTACTTTCAATGTTGGCATAAAACTGGCGCACCAAGTTGGGGTAGTAATAGTTTGGTAGGACTAGAATCGGAGCCCATCCTAGCTGAGTAAAAGCATCTGAGATGTTGTACATCAACTCAACTGGAGGACTGACGTGCATCTCGAACAAAAACTCCAAGTTAGCACGCGCCTCATGCCACTCCTGATTCGGCGAGTTTGAACCTAGCACTGTCAAATACCGAATTTTCCGCTCCACGGGAGGTGCCCTCACCAGGTCGACGGTTAACTGGTGGAGGAGAAGGTGAATTCTCCTCCTCAGTCACCTCCATCTCCTCATTAACTCCCCTCTCTTCACTACTAGAGGATGAAGTTATCACACGCCTTCCCCTTCCCCTTGGCATAGTACCTAAAAGAAAATGTTGCAATTAACCACATGTATTCTCACACAATTCACAAATTGGCAATGAATATCCTAAAACTATCCAAATAATCTCCAATTTGTCCCTTCAAGTGATAATTCGTCGATTACCTAATGTAAAGGTCCGAACAAGACGAGCCATAATTCCAGCCAAAAATTGCTCAAAATGACCAATAAAAACAAGATATGGAATAATTGTAACCCAATTAGTGAAAATAGCAACAAGTATGATTATAACTATTTAGAATTAACAATAATAATATGCTTTTAGGTATGATCATGTTTAGGCAAAAATTAAACCAATTAAGAAACCGAATCAACCAAATTACTCACTATACACAATGCACATGGTAAAATATCATCAACTAACCATTCTTAACCATAATTAATCATAACCAATAGCTCAAAAACATCCTAAATCCATTTTTCAATTTCCCCCAAATATAGAAATTGTGAATTTTAAATCACTACGAAACCAATAAATTGCTACATTTAAACATATAAACATGCTTAAACAA